GCTACATGAGGGTACTTCAGAAAGTTCTGGAAACATGGAAATAAAAGAGAATATGAATCCTTCTATGAACTTTAGAAGTACCTTCATATATCTTAAAATCATCCATGTGCCTTACACACCCTTCTATTTACATCAATTGCGGTCAATACTTCCACCAAAATATCTTTCAAATTGGTTTTCTCCTTTTCCACTTAGATTGCCTGGAGGGTGGTGACTCATAAAAGCTAAACTTTGTGAAAGCGAACTCTGCAACAGGCATTGTGCTTATAACATTACAAGTACTGCCTCACGTCATTGCTTATACCACAACTATGATGTACTTATATGGAAACCCAGCCCTCATTCCTAAGCAGAAAGTCTGTGCTCACACGAGCAGAATGCCTTGGCCCAGAGGTGCAGCTTTGCCTACAGCCCAGCTTCTTGCCTTGGGGTGGGCACCGCTGGGGAAGCTGCTACCCACTCTCCCCATGCTAACAGAGTCAGTGTCTCTCTGTGTGCATCAGTACCTCATGCTGAGATATCAGTTATTCCTAATCCATCTAAATTGTATTCCCCATTTAGAAACAAAAATGACATATACTCCCTGAACAAAGCAACAGACACGTTTAAAGAGAAGCAAATTTGGGTGACACTAGAGATATTTGCAGAAAGAATCAGCTGATCATTAGCTGACATACTATAACCATCCTGGTTTAATTGGCAAGACATAACAGCTCCAAGAGCAGAGTTAAAAAATAATGTTCCAAATATTTCAAAACGTAAATGGCACAGAGATAATTAAGAAAGCACACGACGGCAGCCTCTGGAGTAATTTATGGCCATGTTGTGACTTAATTGGTTTCAGAGAAACTTACCAATCACTGCCTGGATGTCACAATATTTGGCGTTTTCTTCACTTTCGGAGACATGAGAGAAGTTGAGGTGTCCTAAGGGATGGCTTCCCTCAGCCTCAAGGTAGAAGGAAGATTATCCTTAAACCCAGGAAGTTTGACTGGAGACAGGTTTGCCCAGCAGGTGGGAAGCAAACCAGTTATGCAGGGATGCCCTTGGCTGCTGCTCTATGGACCACACAGCCCCTGTCCCCATCTGGGGCCTGGAGCTTGAGCCAAGGAAGAGCTGCCGTTGTTGGCTCAGAGGCCCTTTCCAAGTACCAGGGCTGGGCAGCTGTGACCTTCCATTGCTACTTGTGCAGGCAGGTGCTGTAAGTGTGACCCTTTGCAGTGGAAATGCAAAATACTGGAGGAGTTCCCTGAAAAGCTGCTTTTCCTTTCATGCCATGCGCATTTAGAACAAAAGGGGGAATGGGAGTGGGGATGATATATTGAGTGGATACATGTATTTTTGTTTTAAAATTTTTTTTACTTGTGGACATCTATATAGGAGTTATTTGTCTAGGTTTATCTAGCTTTCTATCAATGAACTTATTCTCACAAACAACTTTGTGGTAGGAAAAATAAAAACCCCAAAAAGCACTATTTACGTCTCTCCATCAGCCTTCCTCCCATTCTTATCAAAAACCTATGTATAACCATAATCAGTGCATACATGTTATTTTATCTAGGCCCTTCACACACAATTTTATCTGAGTTTTTCCAGGAATTTGAATAATTTGTGAATTTTTTGGTAAAAGGAACATAATGTTTATTTGTGTACGTTCATACTATTTAGTGACTTATCGACAGATATTTTGATTATATTTTGATTAATAAGGACTTCTGAAATTAATCAGCAGAACAACCTGTTATTATTGTAAAATCACATAACATGAAATCTATTCTCAACAAATCTTTAAGTATACAGTATTGTTAACTATGTGCACATTACTTCTCTTAATGATGATCCTGAGGTTTTGAGCTGTTGAGTGTCCAAAGGAGAATCTAATTTTATTTAGTAAAGTATTTTTATTTATATTGTGTTTTTAAAAAAAAAAATTAATAATAGCCTAACCCAGATAACAAATGGCTTAAAGTAGCATATTCTGACTGGTAACCTAAACTAAAAGAAAAATAAATAGATACACACTGACACCAAAAGTTTATTATTTTAAATTAGTGTGTATAACACAGCACATCAATTGAGATAAAAAATGAAACACAGGGACAAGCAGTTGGGGTAAGTGTGAGCATTTGGTCTGTGTGTGATAGTGCTGGGTCAATAGAATCACCTTCTTCCAAGGCCAGGGATGCAACTGTTTGGGAGAGGATTTCCCTGAACAATTTTACCATGGTTGGAGGAGATGAGTTTGCAGGCCCAGGAACTTGAAGGCTAGTGCCATGGTCAGGGAAGAGCATGGATCAAGAAGACTGAAATCACCAGAGAGAACCTTCCCATCTTATCATACAAACCAAACAGCTTCTTGCCTGCCTGTAGGAGGGAAGGTCTGCTAAAGAAGAGTGTTTTAATTTAAATAGGAAGTAAGAGAGCCTTCCCAGAGATGTTTTTGGCCTCATAGTTTCAAACTGTGACTCTCCATTTAGTTCTTATGATCCAATCCAAAAATGTATCCTTTTTGCCCAGGCCACAACTGCTTTCAGATTTTCAGTAGAGCCAACATTATTATTGTATTAACTCAACCTACTCCTGTTGGATACATATGTTGTGATAGACCCGTACTCGTTGTATAATGATTATGCAAATATGTACATAAAACACATAATTAAGTATCCATAGTTATCAGGTCCTTTAACTGCATTTGTTGGATAACTCCATGGTGCTAATTCTTTTTCCTGTACAAGGATTTCTTGATTCTTTTAGCAGAATACATCTTTCTTGAGAAACTTACTCATTCTTCATAATTAATCTTCATCAGAAAGCCTGACATCAAGCCTTAGGATAAAGGAGATTATTTTTGATAAACACACAAAATAGACATAGAGACACAAGAGAAGCATTCTTCAAAACCTTAAAGGAGAAAACATCTTTAATATTAAAATACTGCACTAGGTGCATCCTGTGTCCACACTGCTGGATAATTAGGTCTTTAAGATCTGGAGAAATAGCTACATTCATTATAAGATCCTGCCGTGACATACAAAGATAGGTCTGTATTATCTAAGGATAAAAACAAGAAATGTCTTATTAGGGCGTCTTTATGAGCCCTTGTTTATATATATGTTTTTCACTTCACCTGCATTTATGAGATTAATATGGGACAAGCTACTGGGGTGGGGGTAGGATATTGGGACCTCCCCGATGCTCCTAGTTCTGCCCTGGAAGTATTGACTCTGGCTCATTCCACAGGGAGTACAGTAAAGACTCAGTTATGTGGTTTGACTGAAAATACCAGTTGATAGTTGTAAAATCTGATGCTGTTTACGAAGGCTGGCACTCTTTAAAAATATGAGTGTTTGCTTCCTAGACAGTTCTACTTCTTTCACATAAAAAAATCATCTATCTTAAAAGGTTTCTCATTAGCCTAATTCATAGCTTCTTATAACACTCAAAATTTTTGATGTTGGACTTTGGTTGGACACAGATGCTATATAATATAAATAAAATTTGTTTTCCTCACACTAATACCCTAAAACAGCTAACTATAAACAGTGTTTTACATTAATAATATATTACATTTAGAAAGCAGACTATATGATATATGTACATTATATTTCCATTGCATGCTTAAAATATTCATGCACAGAAGAAAAAAAAAATTTAGGGCATATACCGAACTGTGTACAGTGTTATTCTGAGAAGCAGGATTGTGGGTGTATTTCTCTTTTTTTGTTTTCTTTTTTTTTGTATTTTGTAATCATTTGATAATAAACATGTATTATTTTGAAAATAAGAAAAGTGTTTTGGCTCCAAAAACTTTAACTTTTAAAAAGTTTGAGATATATTGAGTTTGTAGTAAAAATCTAGGCTATGTGGTCTAATATGGTAGATGCTGGCCTCAAGTGGTTATTTTAAAATATATTTAAATTAATTAAAAGTGAGTTAATTAATATTCAATTCTTCAGTCATGCTAGATATATTTCAAATTTCAGTAGCCACTTTTCATCATCATCGACAGTTCTATTTGATAGCCCTGGTGAAGAGTGGATTACCAAACTATGTCCTGGATCCAGGAACTGAAAGTGGGCCAGTTTTCAGTGGCATAGGATTGGACATGTGACCCTCACCATAGACACTGGGAGACTCCTTGCCACTGGTCTCTTTTATACAACTCACTGATCTGTGACCAAATAAGATCAGAGATTTTTTTTTCATAACCATTCATCTAATTAGTAATTGAACAAGGACTAACTTTTAATCCATAGCTTTTGCTGCCATATCACTATCACTGTCTTCCCCAGAAAACTAAATCTTCTCAAGTAATACTTGGTTCAATTCGGTTCAACATAATTTCATAGGCGTTTTTTGAGAGCTTACAATGTGATGGGTACTTGCATATATGACCACAAAACCAAGTAAGAGAATTTCTCCTCCACCAAGGCGTCTCAAAATGCAAAAACAGAAGGGCATGCCAGGTAGAGTGACACCGTAAAATAGGGACAGGTCTACTCTGCTTGGAAAATCCAGAAATGCTTCACAAAGGTAGACAGGTATGAGTTCGGTCTTGAGATTCATGCATCCAAATTCACAAATCAGCATTTCTTTAATACTCTCAATTTTCCCCAGGCTCCAGAAGAAGAGAGTTCAGACCCTATTTTCTAAATGCAGTTGACTTGTGACCTAATATAGTTTTTACTTCATGTGGAATAGTTAGAAATGTTCGATGCTCTGCATTTGGTGTAGTTTTTTGGGGTTTTTTTCTGTTTTTTTTTTTTTTAATTTTTAGGCCTGGTTCTATATGTGTGAAATAATTTTAAATCTTCAAATGAAACAGAATAAAATATGATATTAACATTTAGTCATCCATTTCATTTTTGGACTACATGAAAACAAATAAAAATTTTAATGAAGAGTTATTTTTCAGCCAGTTGTTTTGAAAATGTTTAAACACAGGTCAAGAGCCTAGAACTCCCAGTTCTCAAGTAAATCATGTTCCTGTATTTTAACAGATGCAATGCTCTTGGTGGCAGAGAGACTGGAAGGGCCATTCAACATTGAATCGGTCATGGACCCCATAGATGTCAAGATTTCTGAAGCCATTATGAACATGCAAGAAAACAGCATGCAGGTGTCTGCAAAGGTATTTGCGTTAGTAATGTATCTACCTACACATGTACATACTACAGGTGCAATAACCTAAAAATGAAGTAACTAGATATGTTGGTCGGGATTATAAATTCTAATAATTCTAATACTCTGTCGGTGAGCTTTTCCTATTGAGCCACAAATTTGCTACTTCATTAAAAATGTCTAACAAAATGGCATTGAGAAGGGAAGCAATTTTTTAGCTCACAGCTACTCAATCATGAAGAAATTATGGGCTGCCAAAAAGTTTCAGAGAGCCCCAAGTATGTTGACTAATCCTTCCCATTCATGAGCAATCGGGGGGAATTTACTTTTTAATGTTTGAAATTTCTGCACACCCGCGCCCTGTTCTCTCTTTCTAGTACCGTCTAATTACATCTTCAGCTGTTCAGATCAGGGACATGCTCTATATGTTCAGTTGTTAATAATTAAACATCCTATCTGACTTTCTTTTAAAGCTATGGTGTAACCTTCATTAATGAATCTTCAGGGGGAAATGCTCCTTTGTATGAAGTCAAGCACACATTAAAAGGAAAAAAAGCAGCACACTTTTATAAATCATATGAGACAGAACTCCTGGGTTTGCAGCTGCAGAACACAAATACCAGGTGCACACTTTCTATTTGTCTCCACCCAGTTGAAATATACAGGACCTGCCTTAAGCAAATGTGAATGGTTTACAGTGGGTCTCCAGCCCCTTCCTTTATCACCTTTTTCCTCCCACATTGATGACTGCACAATGCCCTTCTGTTCTCTCTACCAGTCTCCCTGTCATGAAACACTAACCAAAGCTATATCAGTCTCTTCAACCTGGTGACTGAGTGATTGCATTTTAATTGAAAGTCATTTGCACTAAATATGTCAGGCAGAGAGTTGCATCATTAGCTTTCTTCAAATTTTAAAATCCTTTGTAAAATCACTTGTCAAATATAATCAAGGGGGAAGGGACGGGTGGTGGGGAGACACTGCAGAGCAGAGAGGCATGGAATCCTACTAGGTCTCCTTGGCTAAGCATGGATCAAACTAGATTTGGGCTTTTCAGGGTGAACTGGTAGGAAGTAGAGTAGGAAAAAATCTGGCCTGAGTCCCTTTCTCTCTCTGGGAGATAGATGAGCTGATAGGTTCATAGGCCTATTTCTGGGTTTTAATGAGCTTGGGGTAGCTTGTGTAAAGAAGGATACTCCAAATGACCATCCCTCGCTGGAGAAATAGCATGTTTGGGGTGTCTATGAAAGGCCATTGTCTTTCTTTCCTGTGAAAAAAATAGCAGCCATCTATTCTTCTCCAATCTATTGCCTAGAATCCAATTAATGTTGTTTTGAGAGGTCAAATATCCCAGCAGCACGTGAGTAACCAGGCGCTAAGGTTACTGGTGTTCACGATGGTTCTAGAGATAGGGCACGAAAAGCACGTGGACAAAGTATCTGCAGTTTGAGACCATCATGAGCCTCTTAGAAGCAGGTGTCTGTTTCCACTGGTGTGTGCACATACATGATCAAGTCAAGTATTCTTTTCCTGTCTTTTCATCCATTCATTCAGCAAATACCTGTTAAGAATCCAGGTGGCAGACACAGTTCCGTGTACTGAGAATACAGTGTGAGCAAGGCATAGTTCCTATCCTCACCAAACTCACTTTCTAGTAGGAGAGACAGACACTGAACAGATAAACAATTATATAATAAACACAGTATAATGTCAGACAATTATAGGTAATGTGAAGAAGCTCCTCCTCCCCCAATGCCTGGACATGATTTAATGATATTTTTTATGATTTTTTTTTTTTCAAAGAACCTTGGTTCTTGTAAAAGCAACAGCTTCATAATTGATCTTCTGGCTTCCACTCTTGGTGTTTTATATTTTGGTAGCTGGCTGGTACAAGAATCGAACCCTGGACTTTGGTGTTATCAGTACCACATTCTAACCAAATGAACTAACCGGCCAGCCCCTGGCTTCTACTCTTGAACCCCCTATGTCCTTCATCCAGAAGCCAAAGAAATCTGTCCTTTGCCCAGAAGCCAAAGTATTTCTAAAATGTAAATAAGTCATGTTTCCCCTTCTTTTCCTCTCAGTGGCTGCTTTGGCACTTAGAATGGAGTCTAGGCTCATGCAAGGTCTTGCATTTTCTGGCTTCTGCTTTCTGCCACTTGCTCATGGTTTTTCTCTCAGTTCCTTGAGGAGACATACAGCTTCCACAGTCTGTAATGCTTTTCCTTCCTCTCCCCTTTCAGTAGGTCCCTCTTGTGACTCCCTGCCACACATCTATTACAGGTTGGAAATATATATTGATTTGTTTGGTACTTGCTCTCTGCCAGTCTTCTCCTGACCTCACTAGTCTGAAACTTTGTGAGGGTCTAGAATCACAGCTGTGTACCTAGAACCTAGCACATACTTGGCACATAGAAACTGTAGGCAGATATTTGTTGAATGAATAATAATATTTTAAAAAAGGAAATGCACTCGTGAGTGAGCTCTAAACAAATTTTACAAATCGACCCATTTCAAAGAGTGAATTAACTAAATTATTCTCTTTATAATCTAGTCACTTTTTAATGAGCAAATAAAAATTGAATATATTATGATATATAACATGATGTTTTAAAATATGTACACATGAAAGAACGGCTAAATCAAGCTAATTAACATATGCATTCCACCTCACATTTCATTTTTTTTGTAGTGAGAACACTTAAAATCTACTCTCTTAGCAATTTTCAAGCATCCAATACATGGTTATTAACTATAGTTGAAGTCAGATATTCTACTAAAAATTTCTCCAGATAGACTCTTATTACCAGAATGTGGATGAGACATTTTTGTGGAGTCTGTCCAACTACATTGTAATAGTATTGCTGTTAATAAAGAATGTACTTAAATATGACACATTTTAAGAAATGCCGAAATCAGGAGTAGGTATAATATAGGGCATGTAAGAGTACACTCACATGAGGGGGTACAGTAAAAAGGGTCACAAAACGATAATTCAAAAAATGTCCAGTGAGCTGGAAACAAAAAAGTGTGGCTGGTAGGCTTGACACAGAGAAAACGGGAGGGAGGGATGAAGGAAGAGGAGAAAGAGAAGGGAGCAGCCAGCTCTTCAGGAAACAGGGACAGGCAACCAGGAGTCTGATGTGGAAGATGGTGTTGAGGAAAGACCAAAGGCAGCTTTTAATATTGTGGAGAGGTAAAGGTGGTTGGAATTTGGATAAATTTGGGGGTCTGGGGCAGCAATTGGCCAGTACAGGGATCTGAACCCTTGACCTTGGTGTTATAACAGGAATTTGGATACATTTAGCCAGAAACATCAACAGGATTTGCTGGTGAAACAGGTATGTTCTGAGAAGAGGCTTTATTTCATTAAGGGAATGGAATTTTCTTTTAAATTTAGAAATACATAGCTTCATTTTTCATATAAGCCACATCCATGAAATTACACATGAACTAGAGTCTAAAATCTATATTCTAGTTAAGAACTGGATAGTTGAATTTAACTTTTTCCAAAATAATCCTCAGTCACTGTTGATAAACAGTCTCATCAAATTTGAAGTTCTGGACTTCCAGACTTAGGCTGGAGTATTTGCATAACCCGAAATACTGACTTCTGACGGATGAGCTTCCGGTGAGGCCAGAAGCTATTTCCTAATTGGGGACCAGACATCCTTGAGAGTTGTAAAGCTTATAAATTAAAATGACTTTTAACTTCAGGATATGATTGGCAACTTCTCCTTTGAAAATCATTTATTTTATTAAAGCAGTTACTGGTAGAAGTCATTCCCAGAGCCTCCTTCAGAAAAGCAACAATATTTATGATTGCCAACTCATATTTGTTGAGTACTTACTGCCACGGTCTGTACTTAGTGCTTTACATGGTCTATAATATATAATATTTATAACAATCCTTGTGATGAGACAGATTTTCCCCCTTATTTTGCAGATAAAGAAACTAAGACTTAGAAAAGTTAAGTAACTTACCAAGGTCTTACAGAGCAAAGGCTGAGAGTGTCTGATTCCAAAGCCTGTCTTGCTAATCATTAAATGATGCTGGTACCAACAGAGGGCAGGGTTCAGTAAATATTTGCTGAATAAATCAAGCATTAAAAGAAAGTTCAATAGCCTTCAGAAAAATCTGCATGAGAAGTTAAGAAAACAGATGTAGCAAAACCAGTGGGACTCAAGCTGTTTTTCTGTCTGAGTCCCTTTACAACTACACCTAGTACTTCCCAACATGATAAACTCTAATTAAATATTTCTCTTATCCAGACTAATTGTTTACTGCTTCCAACCTTTCCTAGAGTTTTAATAGTAAAAAATTAAAATTCTTTTTTCTCCCTTCCACGTCAGAAGGCAAAAAATGAACCCACCACAGTTTCAGATATAAAATCCCTTTCCCTGAATGTTCTCATCATATCTAGAGGAAGTGACAGCTAATCTTTTTGTACCTAATCATTGAGATCATGAATTAGTGGAACCAATGAAAGGATCTATTTTCACCATGGATGTTCATGCTCTAGTCTTTTGTTTTTATAGATGTTGTCAGATCCTTCCCCTCTCCTATTTAGCCCACAGGATAGCTGTTGGGGCTGAGACACATTGAGATTTCTTTCAAAAAATACTTTGGCTATACCAAGTTGTATAAAAAGTTATAGTATTTTGGTAATAACATTATGAAATTCACTTCTCACTCTAGATTTTTAGACCCTTTGTACAATATTATATATACATATACCTTTTTAAAGACTGGGGGAAATAGTTTATCAAAATTTTTCTTGGTTCCCTTTTGGGCAAAGAATCGTCTAGTAATAATGACAGTCGCTATGGTTGCCACTGGTTGAACTCCTACTATCTCCATTCAACAAATACCGTGCCACGTACCAGGTATGAGGAAGACAGTGAGGATAAAACTGTCCTTGCTCTCAAGTCAGTCTCTTTCTAGATGCCCTTTATATTTATTTGAAACCCTCACTGCACTCTTGTAAAGCATTCATTTTCTTGTTTCAT